CAATAGTAAATGGGCTCTTTATTTCGCATGATGTTTGTCCTTTACCTGTGTATCTGTACCTTTCAATAGTAAATGGGCTCTTTATTTCGCATGATGTTTGTCCTTTACCTGTGTATCTGTACCTTTCTTTAGTGAATGGGCTGTTATTTTTAAACCATTGGTGGGTAAAATGTAAGAAACGTCTCTCTGGATTTCAATACCTATATAATTCCATTACAAAGAAGAAGAAAACTACAGAATACAATCATACCATGATGATCGCATTGAGTAGATAGGAGAGTATTAAAGTCAGCGAGAGTTCACTTTCAATACCACTGACAACAGTTAATAGCGTGACAATAAAGTTCCAGTCACGTTTGAAGACAGGTCCAAGTGTGTCTCAATGCCATCAGAAGTTATTTTTACAGCATAGGCTACAATGGACGCCATTCCTCACTCCGGGCAATATCGTAAGGTAGCATCATTGAACATCACAATTACTATCACAACATCCTCCTTTCTGATTGTTCCCAGTTCAGATGTTCACAATTACCAGAGAGTGGACAGTTACAAGTTTGACGACTACTGTACCGTCTACAAACAGCGAGTAAATTTGGGCTGGTAGTATGCTATTTGTTCAACCAACTAAGTATGTGAAAAAGGGTTGAGTTTGTTCAACCACGAGGACTCCTGTGAAAGTTATGTTACCATTTTAGAAATGACTCTGGTTGGTAGAGTAAGATCGATGACGCTACAAAAAGTATTCATTTCTCACTTGCAAACATTACATTTTCGATATTCACGTACATACACACAAACACACTCGCTGTTTTGAAAAGTAAGGATCCACTAATTTTTCTGCAGCCACTGCGAATCAGTAATTTCCACTGTGTTTTTTAGCGTGTTTTTTTTATTTTAGGCATAATATTTAATTTTGTACGTAATAATTATTACTTCTTGTAAAGTTTCCTCCAAATTATGTAGACGTTTGTTACCAAAAAAAAAAAGGGGGGGAAAAAGGGATATCTTCAGGTTTAGTTGTGTTTCATAATTTTTTAACCTTCTTGAAAAAGTTGTTACTACTAAATATACCTTTATGCTGCAGCTTACAACTGAGAATTTATTTCTTGTAACCGATCAGCGCCATCTAAAGGAGCAGACCAACATTTTTTGTGGTCGCGATTACGACACGAGTCCGTTATTATATTTGTTTTGGTTTTGTTGAATTTGGCGCAAAAACTACTTAAGAGCTATCTGCGTTAGCCATCTTTAATTTTGAAATGTTAGACTAAAGAGAAGGCAGCTAGTCAACTCTTAGGCTACTCTTTCACTAAAGTATAGTGGGATTGCCCGTCACATTATAACGGTGAAAGGGCAAGCATGTTCAGTGACAGAATTCGATCTCGCGAACTGCAGATTGCGAGTCGAATGCCCCAACCATCAGGCCACATCAGGTCGTCATTATCTTTTGGATGTTGATGTTTAATTCTTAAGACGTGAAACTGGATATTTTGCAGGGATTTTAAATACCATCATTTCAAGTTACAAAATTAGCACAGGTTTCTGAAAATCTAACTATTATTCAGGTCCTATAAATTACAAAAAAAATCATTAACAATTATATTGAAAATGAAATATTGCAATTAATTATTTTCATTTTAAAATTACTTTTCAAGAGCACAGGTTTAGTCTATGATTTTTTTTTCTTCAGATCTGTAAGCACGTTCAATCAGATGGCTGGATAAGGCAGTTTGACGACATAGGCAAATGTCCTTACGTCATCTATAATGAAACCATGTGGATGGGTTACGAAGATGAGGAGAGCATTGGAATCAAAGTAAACCAAAAATTTCAATATTTGTTTTAGTAAACAAGCGAAATTTTAGCAATTAAAAATAAAAGACGTTAATTTATTATTATTTGGTTTGAAACTATGCGGTCTCTCAAAGGTCGATTGCCATTGGCCGAATCCCTGTAGACGTTCACAGAATATGCTCAAATTATCCGCTCTCATAATCGATACAATATTAATGACGTTCAATCCAAGTCGTCCTTACACGTTCATCAACGTTCAGTGGTATTATCTACAAAATCTGCAAAGGAACAAGAAAATAGTTTTCTCAATTGTACACTGGCAACCGATTTTTTTGGGACGCCCTCTAGCGTCAATAGATGGAAGCATGGTGGAAGAATATTGTTTAACCAGCCGTGACGGGACATTTCTTCTTGTTAAAAAAAGTTTATATCGCGAGTCAAAAATGATTTAGTTCATAGTTTATTAGGGTAATTGAAAGTTTTCTGTTGTGCCCGCACGTTTGAACAAATGACTTCAATTTGTCTTTTGATGTGTAATGAATATCTCATGTATTGATTGATTGGTATAAAAAATATACAAGTAATGATATTTTCACCCCCTTTGTTTTCTCTTGATTTGAATAACTTTGATAAGGCAAGTGTAAAACTACCATGGACGTCAAACCGTAATATAAGTATTTTTAAGTGGATGATCTCTTGTGTTTTTACTTTTAGTGACGTTGATAATGATTTCATAAGTCTTGTTTTGTTTTGGCAGTTAGACTACATCCGAGACCATGGTTTTGGAGGTGTGATGATGTGGGCAGTCGACTTGGACGACTATCTTGGGTCATGTGGGGAGAAGAATAAGCTTCTGAAACTTTTGAATAAAAAATTAAAAGAATATATAGTTCCTATCCGTGATTCATTTTGATATCTAGGGATGGCTGTGCAGTACTTGGTTTTGTCTGATTTTCACCAAGTTTGGATTTTTCAAATAAAAGTATTTTACTGTTTCGAAGGACATCTTTTATTCCATAAAGTTTGAAAAGAATATCTGTCTAGGTTTTTATTTTTACATACTAGGAATATAAGGTGGTGATAGAACCTTGAATTCCAACAACATATTATTTCATTATATGTATCCCCCTCCCCCCCCCGTGGTATGGACTTATAATGGAAAAATCGGAGACTCCCCACGGTGGACAACGTACAGACAAACCATTGTGTAACTTCGTGCTAATATAACAACAATATATGTATATACACATTAGGTGAAAATTTATTGATGAACTATCCTGATAACTAGTATAGGTAGCTCTATACAAACGTTACAGGAGTAGTAATATAGCTAACGCCCCCTACAAAAAGAATTTTGTTCAATAAAAATAAGATAAATGATTTTCATTAGTCTTTAATACACCTGCGCCCCCCCCCCTTTCCCAGTGGCACAGCGGTATGTCTGCAGACTTACATCGTTAGAAACCCGCGTTACGATACCCATGGGGGGCAGAGCACAGATAGCCCATTGTGTAGCTTTGTGCTTAACTACAAACACAAAATAATGTATCTGCTGTAATATTTAAGGTAGAAAGAAACACTGTTACAAGTCGTATTCACATCTCTGAAATCTGGGTCTTTGAAATAGCAACCACTCCTGAGAAGATGAGGTTGTACTTAGAAGTTGGTTGTTTGGATGCTTTAGCAAAGAAGAGTCAAAGACCAGACATCCTCGACAGAGTTCATATCCGACCATTAGCCTGGCCATGAGAGAGAGTGGTAATGATTTTTTTCAAGTCATTGTTTTGTGACATGGAGCGGGAGTTTCATATTTCATTTCTCTGGTTATTAGAGTAGACAGGTAGAAGGTCTTAACAGAGAAGTGTGATGACAACCCTTTTACACATATTTAGTTGGTTGATATCTTTGTAGACCACACGCTGTAGTGTAAATATCTGTGTAGAGCACACGCTATAGTGTAAATATCTGTGTAGACCACACGCTATAGTGTAAATATCTGTGTAGACCGCACGCTGTAGTGTAAATATCTGTGTAGACCACACGCTGTAGTGTAAATACCTGTGTAGACCGAACGCTATAGTGTAAATACCTGTGTAGACCGAACGCTATAGTGTAAATACCTGTGTAGACCGAACGTTATAGTGTAAATACTTGTGTAGACCGAACGCTGTAGTGTAAATACCTGTGTAGACCACACGCTGTAGTGTAAATACCTGTGTAGACCACATGCTATAGTGTAAATATCTGTGTAGACCACACGCTGTAGTGTAAATATCTGTGTAGACTGCACGCTGTAGTGTAAATACCTGTGTAGACCACATGCTATAGTGTAAATATCTGTGTAGACTGCACGCTGTAGTGTAAATACCTGTGTAGA